TTTTTTTTCACATTCTGTCTCTCACAGTTGAAGTGTACCTCTGGTGCAAATTACTGACCTCTGTCATCATTTTAGGTGGAGGAACTTGCACAATCGGTGGCTGACTAAATACTTTTTTGCCCCACTGTATTCATTTAAGATTTGTAGCAAGGCTTGGGATCATTGTTCAGTTGAATGACCCTGTTTGTACCAATAACGTAAAATAATCTTTAGCTGTCACACAGACAGCCTCATGTTTGACTGTAGAATACTTTGGTATACACAGAAGAGTTCATGGTTGAGTCAATGACTGCAAGATGTCCAGGTCCTGTCTATATAATAAGTCCAAATCATGACCCTTCCACCACCACGCTGACAGCTGTTATGAGATTTTTGTGCTGATATGCTGAGTTTGATTTTGATCTTGCTGTGCAAAGGACTTCCAGAAGTCTTGTGATTTGCAGCTTTGGAAATCTAAGTTGTGCTGTCATGTCATGAGAGAAGAGGCTTTCAGTGCCTGCCAGTTCTTGCAAACAAGCCACAGTTAATTAGTCTTTTTCTAATTGTGCTGTCATAGACATTTAACTAAGGTAACCGAGGCCTGTAGAATCTGAAATGAAGCTCTTAGGGTTTTTTGTATTTTCTCTGGGCCTTGCACAGTCTGACACTGGGGTGAATTTGCTGCGATTTCCACTCCTGGGAAGACTGGCAGCTGTCTTGAATGTCTTCCATTTGTGGATAATCTCTGTCTCTGTAGAATGTATAACTTGGAAATGTCCTTATAACCCTTTTGAAACCCTTTTACCTTCTTAATTCCTACTCACCTGCGCAGCCTTAAACTTGTCATACAGCATCTTTGTTTTCTTTAGTCGATGCAGGGAGCAAGCACAGTGCAGCTTGAATTAGTTTGAAAATTTTTAATGAGTTGTGGTGTTTGTTACTTTCTGTCCTCTGGCTGCTGGTCTGCAGCTAACGATTGCTTCTGTTGTTATATTTTTGGTTCCTACTAAAAAGGTTTCAACCAAACAGAAATCAACAAGCGTCTCATATAAATGTTTTTCACTTATTCTTTTTTTTAAGCAGGGCTTAGTTTACTTAGGCCTAATCGTCACATTTAAAATAGCCTGAAATGACAGGAAAACTCAGACTTTTGCCTTAATTGGATGTGTGTATTGGTCTCCAGAGGCCCATTTTGAGAAGGAAAAACATCTTAATTCTCTAAATTAATCTAAATAAATCTGCAAAAGCACCCCATATTTTTCCTGAATTAGTTTATCTTGTCTTAGTAAATGTCTCAGAACCTTAAATTCTAATTACTTTGTAGTTATGATTAAAAAGTTAATTATTAAAGATTACATTAGCCAGTGTTTGTCATTGACCTCTAAAAGACAAATAGGTCAGAAAAACCGCAGCAGAATAATTTTCTACTCTAACTACTGTTAATAGTTATGCAAACTGTTTGAAAAAGTAGGTTTTGTAGGTTTCAAATTAAAGCTCAGGAAAATGGGAATAAAGAGAATAATTTTAAGTTTCCTTAATATTTAGTGTAAATATTTTTAATTATCAGTAAGTTTTTATTTTCTTTGTGACATTAAAAGTTAGAATTGCTCTAAGCTGGGTCAACAAATGTCTGCTCAGAGGTTTAAGAGTATAAAAATGTCCTGTATCATCAGTTCTGTGTTCGACTCGTCTTCCTCTTCCTGACCCTCTCAGCCTCGTTCCTCACCCCACAGCTCTTCCTCCTCAGCACTTATCTCATGCTCACCGATTTCCTTCTCGTTTCCTCTCCACCTCCTTTGCTGTTATCCTTCTTCTTCTTCTTCTTTTTGTGTGTTTTCGAGCACAAACTCTGTTATCGGCTGTCTTCTGTCCCGTTTATCAAATGTGTTCTCTGCAGCCAAATTTTAAAACAAAAACAAACAAAAAAACATGTGTATGTGAAACATGAGCCTGATTTTTGTCTTTAAACATCTTCTTTTTTATTACTGTTAAAAAAACAACCAACAACCCTGCAATCTATAAATGTGTCTGGGGGTTTTTTTTTGGTTTTGTTTTTTTTTTTTGGGGGGGGGTTGTTGTTTGTTTTGTTTTTTTAAAGGAAATGAAAATTTGTTACATAAAGAGAAGAGATGTTGATGTTTGTGTCAGATGTTCACAGTTTTACAGCTCGTATCACAAAGGGAAGCCTTTGAGTGAAACCCAGACTTTTTAACACCCTCAGGTAGAAGCTGACTTTGTGTTTCAGGATGGGCTTGGCGTTTGTCTTCATTTGGTCAGGTGTGTTTATACAGGAAATTATGAGAAATGTTTGTGTGTCTGTTTGCACTCAGTGGACTCTGAGGATGGGGCAGTGGTGTGTGAGCCGGGCTGTCTCGTTTTGGACAGCGACTTCCTGCTGAGCGGCGAGCTGGAGTTTGGAGACTCGGAGATCATGGGACTGGATAGAGAGTCTGGTCAGTAACACACACACAGGTTTTTACATACACGGGGTTGGAAAGCAAGCCACATATTTAAACATTCCACATGTTTTTATTAGGCTTTTCTCTCTGTTTTGACTGAAGCATTGACCCTGTGCTCACACAATATTTAAACATTGTTCTCCCGAATCCTGGTAATCAGGTGAGGTATGGTCCCTTTGATGATCGGGCTCGAAAAGACTTACAAGTTCAAACTGATGTGCTTTCCGTATTTAAGATTTTGAGTTTATGGTACTTTGTACCATAAGTTTGTCTCTGAGTTTGTTGAAAGTGAAATAATATGCAAACCCATTTCTGTAGCGCAAGTTAAAAGTCAAATGTTTGCTAATTAAAAATTCAGAAAGTTAAACAGAATGTAAGCTGAATGTATTATTGGGTAATTAGTCTGCATTATTAGTTTATCACTGGGTAAGTGAAATGTGTTGAGTGTAAAAATCTGCCAAATGAAATGTGTGGCGCTAACCACTGTGGTGACCCCTTGTGGTAAAGGAGAAGCTGAAAATAGCTTATAGATTTTAAAATTCACATTTGAAGCCAAGTTAAAGAGTCACAAATGTTGAGCTAAAATGAAAAGTATGCTGTATTTTCACTTTTTAACTTGTCTGGGCTTCCATAGATGATGCTGGAGTGAAAGAGCAATGAACGACTGAGCATGCAGGTGGCGTTCGTGCACCAACTGTGAAGTCCTCACAGGTCCATACTAGCAACTGAGTTGTAAAGGACTCGCTCTTTGCCTGAACCACCGGTGTCACCACTCAGAAATAATCTCAGCATCAGTGCTGGTGTAGGAGTAGTAGAAGTCGAAAGCTGATGCAGCTTTTGTGATGTCACTTATGGTACAGGCTGATGTATAGAGGGCAAAGACATTTCATCGCTATGTTAGGAGCTCGGAGAAGTAGATTCTCCAACTGACTAACTTAAGTTGTCATGTTGTTTCTTGTTTTGACTTCTATTTCTGCTCCAGCGCTGATGCTGCTGATTTCCTTCTGAGTTGCAACACCTCACTCAGGAGAAGTGAGTTCAGCGTGCCTCAGCTGCCAGCATAAATATATAAATCATTCCTGTAATAAATTAAGTTTTTAAATGCAGCGGTTATTTCCTCAAACCCCATGAGAGTTGAATTTTTCTCCTCAAAGGTTGAAGCGACTGTCTGTTTAACCCTGTGTTCTTCTTCAGGTATGACTGTCTTCTCTCTAAGTGTGGAGGACGACTCGTCAGCACCGACAGACTCCACCTTCCCAGCGTTCCTCTCCTGTAAGGGATGTGGTCAGCTTCTGGGAGACACACCTTTGGGGGCAGGCTTAGATCTTGGTAACTACTGACTGACTATAACATGCCAGGCTGTTTACATGTGGAGTTAAACATAAAAAAGACCTGGGCACAGAGTGATATTGGAATATTTTCACTTCTTTGATTTGAGTTCACTGTCCAGTAAATCTCACAACTCTATGATGGATAGAATCCAGCATATGTAAGCACATGAACACACATGCATATGAGTCACATCTACATAGTCCACCACTGGCATTAACGTGGAAACAGCAAGTCTATTTCTTGCCTCAGAGAGCAGACGCAACTCAATGTAAAATAAAAGACCAGTTTCAGTTTTCTCACTGGTTACTGATTGGTAGGTGTAAACAAGAAAGAGTAATCAAGTGTAATTCTGCATGAATGTATTAATATGCTAACTCAAACTCAGAACTGTAGGAATACATGAAAAGTTTATCATCAGGTTGTGCTGTACTGTATTAAAAGGTTATTGTAGAGAGCCTGGTTATTGGATTATGTGCAGATGAGTAGATTATGATAAAAATTAAAGTTTCACTATAATACAACCAACATAATGATTGTAGCGTATGTATGTACCCAATTTGAACCGCCCTGCTCTGACAAGTCTTTGCTTTAAGATTTATCATCCACTGTGTCAAATGCCTAGGTTAGATCAGTACAAATGGCTGCAGAGGTTTGTTTTTACTTTGTTTGTACTGAATCAATATAATATTGTTTAATATTAATATTGTTTTAATTATTTTAACATTAGAAAATGTGATATATTTCATTCCAGGTGTAGGACTCGACCTAGGGGCAGAGCTTTATTGTCTCTCCTGTGAGGAGGGCCTCCAGCATGGCACCTCCATCGACTCCTCTCAGTTGGACGGTTCCAACCTGTCCGATAGATCCCTCGGCGGCAGCTCCAAAAGGAAGGGGAGAAACGTAGACAAAGCCAGCGGTGTTGCGGACCCCGCCTCTAAACTGTACTCCTGTTCGCTGTGCACATTTACCTCGCGCTACTCCAACCATCTCAAACGCCACATGCGGACCCATGACGGGCAGAAGCCGTACCGCTGCCCTGTCTGCCCCTACGCCTCAGCCCAGCTCGTCAACCTGCAGCGCCACGCCCGCACACACACCGGGGAGAAACCGTACAGGTGCCACCAGTGCAGCTACGCCTGCAGCTCCCTCGGCAACCTGCGCAGACACCAGCGCATGCACACGCAGGAGAGACCGCAGAGGAGGGAGAAGGAGAAAAGACGGGGAAGACGGAAAAAGGCAAACGGTGATGCTGAAGAAGGTGAGTAAACACAAACCTTTACATCAATTACGGTCTCAGAGTTAAAAAGCTGATGAATTTGTGTTAAAACAAGTTTGTTAATCAATAATTTCACAGGCTGCCTGCAGCTTCTCTCTCTTTTTTAATCACTTTGAAGGAAACTCTTTCTGATTGCTAATCTGACAACTAACTTTTATATATGTCACCTTTGGACTGAAAACTCAGTTCATCATCATCAGTATAAATAACATTTTCAGATCGTCTACGTAGCAGGGTGTGCCACTAATGTCAAAAAGCAGTCATTTAGGAGAAGTCACAGCGATGTCTTTTTGTTCAGTGTTTCCCTCTTTGGTGGGTTTGGAGGCTTCCTGGAAAAGTTCTCCTCTGGGATTTTAGACCGATTAACACCTGTTTACGGGATTTTTCTTGTAATGCATTTACAGTAATGACTTGTTTTCAGTTTGGGTAAAGTTGGTGTCACCAGTGCTCCAGTGTGCTCTGTGGACCGTGACAGGTTAGGTGAATAACATAGAGTCATGTGATAAAGGAAGCACACCCTCTTTCTTGCCATGATGTAATGCAAAATTATCTGGTCTGTGGCAAAGGTGTACACCACGAGCAAAGTTCATAACACATACATGCTTTATATGCTTTGTTTCTTAACAACTTAAAACATGCTGCAAATGAATGAACTGGTGCAAAAGTGGCTCTTCCAGCCAATTTGAAAACTTTGAAAATATTACCTGGCCCCCAACCGTGTTATGTTTTTTTAGCATCAGTTACCATGGTGATTTAGCCACGAGATAAAGCTGTGATGATATCCATTTTTAATGAATGATAAGAATTCTTGTTAGAATATATTAAAACATATAAAATTGTAAACCTTAAAGTTAGGGCTGCACGATTAATCGTTAGAAAATCGCGATCTCGATTCATACTGAAATCTCATTTCCAAATGACAACGATTTAAAAAAAAAAAAAAAAAAAAGACGACGACGATTGTACCGCATTTTGATTCGGGACGTACTCTGCATGAAAACAAGCGCTCACTCTTCCTGCTCAACAAATGACAAGGGCGGAGCCTTATACCACGTGATACAGAAGCTGGCTGCTAAAATTAGCAGGGAAAAAACAACGGAGAGCACGTCAGGGATGACGAGAAAGTGACTGGAGAAAATCCGTCCCGGTCAACCACCCAAACATCAATAACGGGAACCTTATACAGCGCTTCCCTATACCCGTCGAACTCCCGCAGGAGTTCGACGTGTATAGGGAAATTAAGGAGGCTATTAATTATCACCTGACCAAAGATATGGCTCCCATCAACACTGTGCAAAACGAGGGATTTAGGAAAATGATCAACACCCTAGACAAACGCTACACAGTGCCGTCCCGCAACTATTTTTCTATTGTTGCACTACCTGCTCTATACACGCAGCGTCGAGCAACGGTAGAGACGGAATTTCAAGCAGTACAACATTTTGCGGCAACAACAAAACATGAAACATTTGTTGTTTTATGTTTATTTATTGTTTTCATGTTCAGTCTCAACTGTTACGAAGTTGATGTGCAGTTAATAAGTGCATTAAATATTTATACTGGAAAAGAAAATCGTGAGAGAATCGTGATCTCAATTCTAAGCAAAAAAATCGTGATTCTCATTTTATGCAAAATCGTGCAGCCCTACTTAAAGTTAGTGTTTAACTTTAGATGTAATTTCAAATATGTCTACATAACGCTTATATATGTGTATGAGATGTGTGTATTTTGTTTTGCTCTCTCGCTCTCTCTCTCTCTCTCTCTCTCTCTCTCTCTCTCTCTCTCTCTCTCTCTCTCTCGGGTTGGGGACTGCCCTCCGAGGGAAAGGCAGGGGAAACACTGCAGATCTAAGAGCGAAGCATGTGTTATTGTGTCGTTGTGAAATCATCATTATAACAGCAGCGATAGATTTCAGCTTCAGTGTGACCACATGTTGGGTATTCAGTTTTTCATTATCAGTTGATTAAATGTTCGTGTGTTTGTCTGTTGGTTATAGTCACATGCATCTCTTTTTGATAAAGGAAACCACTCTGACGTCGAGTCTCTTTGTAATTCTGTTTTTAAAGTCTCTTACTACAATTTAGTGTCTTTGTGACGGAGCCGTGAGATACGCTCACTTTTCTTGCTTGTTTGGGTCAAGCCCCACAAACACACACATGACGCCTGCATTTCCCATTTAGCAAAATGCTCACATATATCCTGTGGTATTCCTGTAGTTTTGTGATTTAAAAACTAACCAGGCTTTTTAAGCTGTTCTTTATGTAGAAATTTCTAGATTGAAAGCACACTTAAAACCTGGGAATATCACAAACCCAGAGCAGAGGTTTGATGACATGTGGAAGGTTTACATTTTGGAGATTTGACAACTCTGAATTTAAAAAAAAACAACTTTTTCTGAGGGGGAGATTTCTCATCTTGGAAGCAGTTAGCAGAGCAGAAAAGAGGAAGCAAGTCAGCAAAATGAGGAAGAGAAATTCTCTCTGTCTTAGTGCTCAGTGACCTAAAACTGAACTGCATGATGGGGAACATCTAGAAGAACGTGTTTACACTACAGCTAATAATGATCCAAACAACTTTGCCTTTTGAATGCTTCCCTATGTGTCTGCAGTCATGTCAGACCTGACCCTGCGAGTGTCCCAGGACTCTGCTTACCTCCAGACGTTGGGAGGACTCGGCTCCCCCTCCGGCCCCCTTCCAGTCCTCCTCTTCCCGCTCTGCTGCCGGGTGTGCGGCCTCACCCTGGAGGAGTCTGACCTAGAGGGCGACAAGGCAGAGGGAGAGGTGGAGGGCGATGGAGGACAGGTTTGTTTACCAAAACAAAGCTGGTTTTCTTTGAAAGATCCTCTGTAAACTTTAGGATGAAATGAGGGGTTGTACAATGTGTAGTTTGTTTCCACGACAAACAGAAAAACAGAAGCTCCGCCCACCACAAACTTCCACATTTTCCCACTTTACATTAACGATAGCAGAGTGACTTCCTCCCTCATACTGCTGTCACAAGCTAAAAAGTCAGTGGCAATCTTAAGGTGGTGCACATGTTCAGGCCGCCATAGATTCAGATGGCGGTATTCTCTCATCGGTTTTGATAAATTTTGTCATAATTTTTTTTGTCAGATTTCCAATACATGCCATTTTCACCCCGTATTGTGTCTTCAGCTCTATCTACAAGTTCTCTATGGTCCCAGCAGGATCAATCAACCTCCTGACAGGAAAAATCTTAATGATTTAGTTGTTAATGGACTGGTACTGATATAGTGCTGTTCTACACAAATTGAATAATTAAAGTGCTTCCTTACTACAAACCTCATTCAGCCACACCTTCAAACAAGTACTTTTTCCCCCCCCAATGCCCGAACACTTTTTAGTCCCTGTCATTTAAAAACTTTGTAAAACTTTCTGCTGCTGCTGCTGCTAATTAGGATTTGTGAGCAATTTTGTCACGTCAGGGCTGCGTTAAAAGCTCATAAGTATTAATAGATGAACAAATGTGTAATATGCCTCATTATCTTATTCTTTTCAGTTCAATTATATTTATATAGCATCAATATACAAAAACACTTGGCTAAAGAGACTTTATATTGTAATGTAAAGCGCCTAAAATAATCCAGAGAATCTTCAACAATCAGATGACCATCTATAAGCAAGCACTTGGTGAATGTGGGAAGGAAAAACTGATGTTGAAGGTGGCTATCCCACTGTGGGAACGTTTTAAACCTGCAGGCTTTCTAATGACCACCACAGAGCGGCGATTCTGGTTAATGACCGTTTGATTGTATGATCTGTCCACAGGAAATGTTTCCTCTCACTGTGCTCTGTTATTTTTCCAGGTTTGCCGCCGTTGCTCCAAAGACAACTCAAGGGCTCCCTGCAGCAGGGACGTGTCTCGGGGATCCCGGCGTGGTCAGCGCAGCAACAAGCTGTACCGCTGCCCTCACTGCCCCTTCCTGTCCCACTACCCCAACCATCTGGCCCGCCACTCCCACGTCCACTCAGAGGAGAAGCCTCACCGCTGCCCGCACTGCCCCTACACCTCCTCACATCTCGACAACCTCAAGCGGCACCTGCGTGTGCACACAGGCGAGAAGCCTTACCAGTGCCCGTCGTGCAGCTACGCCTGCGGGAACTTGGCTAACCTGCGACGTCACGAGCGCATCCACTCGGGCGCCAAGCCGTTCCACTGTTCCATCTGCGGCTACTCCTGCAACCAGAGCATGAACCTGAAGAGGCACATGCTGCGGCACACGGGCGAGAAGCCGTACGCATGCGGCGAGTGCGGCTACACCACGGGCCACTGGGACAACTACAAACGCCACCAGAGGAAGCATGGGCACAACACGGACAGCTGGGACAAACACGCGCCCATCAACGGCCTCGGCTGGGGGCAAGACACTCAGGAGAGCCAGAGTCAGGGACAGGAGCACTCTTAGATACTGTGTGTGTGTGCGTGTGTGTGAGGGAGACAAAAAATGACTGCAGCGGTTAGTCGATCAACAAAAAACCCAGTATCATTATTATGATAAGTTCAGGGTTTTAGAGTCCACCTTCTCCAGTGTGAGCTTCTGATTGTTTATAAAATCAAATTTTAAAAATATTTAGCCTCTTATAAAGACACATGCTTTATGTAAAAGTTAGGCGTGGCCATGGTGACGTCACTTTTGTGATGCTTAAAGCTGAGCAGTTTGACTTACCAGTTAAGTTTCCTGCTGCAAGCTACTAGAAATATTGCAGTTTAAGGCACTTCCACTTTGGCTTTGCTTGGCTGATCCAGAGGTTATGTCCATGTTTTATATGCATTCTGTGTCTGGATGAAACAAGGTGAAAGTAAATAATCGTCTTGATGGAGCGCAGTCCTGGTGTTTCTGTGGATCACAGGATTACTCTGTGTGCCCTGCAGGCCCTCGGAGTAATTAAAGTGATCGAGATGATAAACACAAAGATACTTTAAAGAACCACAGAGAGATGCAAAACCATTATTAAAAAGCACAAAATGAGCATGACAAGATGCAAAACAACTGTATAGAGAACTCCAAAGAGATACAGAAACATCAGTGTGATCTATGTCTTTTTGTGACACCAATATGAATATGAACATGACAAACTTTCTCAGGGATCACCCACCCTAAACATGTTCCCTCCATGCTTACAGTCAGGATCAGCATCATCACAGTTTTGCTCTTTAGTTATTTACAGCTGCAAATTAAAACCACACCAATGCTGCATCACCTGCAGACCAAGGCAGCTGATTCTCACACATCCATTTGCTGACTGCTGTTTACTGAGGTGAAAACTCACTTCGTGTGTAGCAAGTTTGCAATTTCTTGAGGTTTAAAAAAATGCCAGCAGCTATTTTTTTTTAAATTTAATTTGTTTTGTTGCTCAACTAATCGCTGCGTCATTAATCAGGACAAACGCCGGCAGTGAAACTGGAGCAAAGCCACACTTTAAAAGTGATTGTAACCCACAAACTACACAACAATATTTAACTCCTGCAGGGCAGTGTGAGCATCATGCTGGCTTTTTTTCCCCACCACACTGGCGCGACTGTAGGAAGACCCAGACATGTGTTTGTGAGGACAGCGAAGCCTTTTCTCTTCAGGTAAAAGCCAGTAAAACACCCTCATTAGTGTTTTTTCTTTTTTTATTTAATCGACATGAGCTCTTGTCTGTAGCAGCCATTAATGGTGGCTGTTCCACAGATTTCCTCTCTGCATCAAAGACGTCGAGAGAGTCCAGGAACTCGTTTTCACACATCTTGAATGTATTTGTCAGAAGCTCCTTCAAAGAAAGCAAACACAGTCTTACACCCGGGCCAGTGTGTTATCACATCTATTTAACAGAGCAAGGGAAATGTGTGTGTGTGTGTGTGTGTGTGTGTGTGTGTGTGTGTGTGTGTG